CCCCCCCCCCGTCCGTCTACATCATGTACATTTCTTTCTAACTCTTTTATTCCCAAGCAGACCCCATCGGCGTCAAGACAATATCATCAAAGACAGTCTTCTTGCCTCCATCGCTGGTGATCCTAATGTTCTTGGACTCCTGGTAGCGCGGGAACACCCTGACAGTCATGGCGGTTCCATCACCAACAAACACCTCGATGCTCGAGCGATCAATCAGGATATCCAGCGACAAACGGTTGTTAGCCGGCTTGGCAATGGTGGCCTCCCAAGTACCAGCCTGACCGTATCCAGCTTGCGTAGTGTCGATGGTCAACGACCGGTTGGCAAAGTTGTAAACAAGAGAAGTAGACTCGGCACTGGAAGCAAACAGCTCAATGGTGAAGGCGGGCGCATCGCTAGCGGCCAAGTCGACAGTAGCCTGCAGGCGCGCCGTGTCTGTGAATCCAACCTCGTAGGTTCCATAGACGTCCGTCTGACCGAGCGACTTGGCAGGGCCGCTCGCCAAGAGCGACACTTCCTCGACGGGCTTCTGGCCGAGCCCGCCGTCTTCGCGGATGAAGAGCTCGCGCATGATGGACTGCGTGCCGGCCCAGCCGTTGACCCTGCTAGGCCACTTGGTGGTGTTCCAGTTGTTGATCCACGTGACGGCCAGGTTGCGGCCGGCGTCGTCGACGAACCACTGCGTGGCGTAGCTGTCGGGGCCAGAGTCGAACAGACCCAGCTTCTCGGAAACAAAAGTGGTTCCGTTGAAGGAGCCGACTTCGTACCACCCCTTGAACCCCTTGTCTTGGCCGTAGAAGAGAACCCACTTGTCGTCGATGGGGAAGAAGTTGGGGCACTCCCACATGATACCCCGGCTGCCGTCGCCTTGGTGCAGCACGCCAACGTACTCCCATGAGAGAAGCTCGGATGAGGATGGGCCGGTGGACTTGTACAGCTGGACGTTGCCGGTGTGGCCGTCACCGGAACCGACGACCATCTTCCAGTTGTTGGCGGTGGGGTCCCAGAAGACCTTGGGGTCACGGAATCCGGCGGCAGAGTTGGGAGGCGCCTCGGCCACGATGGGGTTGCCGTTGTAGAGGTCGAAGTGGATGCCGTCGGTGCTCACGGCTGAGGAGACGACTTCGGGCACGGCGTGGGGGTGGTAGGTTACGTTGGTGGCGTCGGTGTAGATGAGTTGCAGAGCACCCGTGTCTTGGTTCTTGACGGCGCTGCCTGTGTAGCGCCCGCTGGTGTCCTGCGTGTTGTTGACATACGGCGGGGTCAGGGCAACTGGTAGGTCCCTCCAGTGTACGGCGTCAGTGCTCTCGGCGTGCGACCAGTACATGGGACCCCAAAGAGGGGCGACAGGGTTGAACTGGTTGAAGAGGTGGTATTTGCCGCCCCACTGGATCAGACCGGCAGGGTCGTTGATCCAGCCCTGGTAGGGAGTGTAGTGATATTGCGGACGGGTCGGGTCAACTGCGTAGCGGGAAGCGGCTGCGAGAGCGGTGAGGTTCTTGGTGGGCTGGTTGCTCTGTCCAAGGATGTTGAAGGTGTGTGAGCCGTCCTTGAGGGCGTGGCAGCCAGTTCGAACGTCGTCCAAGCTGATGTGGCCAGTGGTGCTGGTATCGACCACAACCATGTAGACGTTCTGGCCGGCGTAGGCACTGGTGTCCCAGACGATGCGGATGAGGGCCTCGTCGTTGGTTGCGGTCTGGCTGAACAGGAGAGTGCCGTCTTTCTCCAGGACAAGTCCCACGTAGAGATTGGCGGGATCATAGTTGCCGCCGATCAAGAAACTCATGACGGAGCTTGCCTTGAAGGTGCTGGAGCGGAGTGTCCCAGTGGCAGCTTCGCCATCTTGCAGATTTGTCGAGAGGAACTGCTTGCCAACTTGGTTGAACGGGCCGGTCCCTAGCTGCGAGGAGGCAGTTGTGGTGACAGAGGATTTGCCAAAGGCTGCTCCATTAACGACTGTCCAGCCCGACAGATCGCCAGTTTCGAAGCTGGGGTTCTTGGGGCCTGGGTATTGATTCCTTTGGCATTCTGCGGTACGAGGCAGTACGGAAGCCGTAGTACCATCAGGGAGGACCGAGGCTAATGAGAGCAAGCCGACAAGGGCGTTTTTATATGGTGTTGTTTTCGTCATGTTTGGAAAAATGGGCACAAGACTCTAGAAAGATGGGAGAAAGAAGCTGCTATGGAGAGAGGAAGTAAGACAGACGATCTTGATGAGGCGTTGAGCCTCACTTTAATAGAAGATTCTCCCCCGTGGGGAAGCTACAGAAAACGAGCTATGACGGATTCGATCCCAAGTCCGATCCCTATCCCCAACTTGTCTGTCAACCCACGTTGTGTGCGGCGTTGCCCGTCATGGGCTAACCCTCATGAGCCTGGCGCTGTCTCTCCTGATCGGGAAACCAAGTCACGACTAACATGGCTCGGCCAATGTTAGCGCGGATGCCGATTGGCTTGATTGCCCGGTGTCGGCCCGGGACAGCATCTTACCCCGAAGTCTCTCCGTCTCTTCCCCACACCGCTGAGTCCTCGCTTACTGTCAGCGATGCTGCGGTGCCTTTATCCATCAACGGTGAGTTCGAAGTACACTGGCCACTACTTGATGACCAAGGGACTTCATGTTGACGGGCCCTTCTGGTACGCTGTGGCCGTACCATGTGCAATACGAGCAAAAGGGGGAAAAGGGGGGCAAAACGGGGGAAAAAAAGAAAACAAATCAAAAAAATTCAAAAAACAAAACACCAACGTAACGACAAGCGATCATCACGAACAGCTGTCAAACTAACGAGTCTTGGGGTTCTTGGAGGCTCAGCCAAGGGACCGAACAAGCGCCGAAAAATCCACAAAGATCAGCTTGGTCAACGACGGTAAACGAAGCCGAAAGGTTGCGCTTCAAGTGAAGTGCAAAATGTTTCTCAAATTCCATTGCCGTGGTCCGCAGCTAGTCTTAGCGTGGTAAAATGCGGGCAGAAAGTGGAGGAAGGCGGGGCCCCAGAATGGGGTTGCGGGGATTTTGTTTCTCGAAGGGTGGCTGGAATGCTGACTTGTGCAACCAATGAGGTGTGATTCTGGGCTTGGTCCGTGCACGAATTCGAATATATCCAATCAACTTCAACAGAATGCAATACGTTGGATTGAGTGCCATGGCTGCAAATGACAAATGGCCAAGTTCACGTACTGACTGACCCTCAGTTGTGTCTGTGTGCGTGTGAAAACTCGGCGGGCATGGGCCAAATAGGGGCTTTAAGAGAATACGAACAAAAACTACTCTAACAATGACAATAAAATCAAGCATCGGTGTGCTTAACTTAGTGTGTATACCTTCACTTATGGCAGAGGCGAGAAGTCTGGACTTTGGCAGTGGTGTGGTCCGTCAGGGGGTGGTGGACATGTGACCACAAAACGCTTGCCCAGGGTGAGGACCCACTAACAGGCTTACCGTACAAAAGTGTACGCTACCAAACTACTGCCCTGGCAGTAGGCTTGCACAAGCCATCGGTGTTGTGTAATGTATACTACCTACGCAAGCCCAAAACGTGATGGGGTAGCATTCATCAAAAAGTCGGTTTGAGAGAAAAAGGAAGCTAACAATTCATGGGCGCCCCTGTTAAGGGACCAGTCTAATTGCCCGAAGATTCCGAATCCACGTGACCCTCAGAGCAAAGCTCCGTCCTCGGAACCGAACTGCCTCCACCACGAACTTTCCACTCTTCGGGAGTTGTGAATAGCCTCATATTCGTCCTCTCCTTACCTATATAACGTAACTTTCTCCCCAATGTCCATTCCTACCCGTTCATGCTTCTTCAACTCTTCAAGCTATGCCACCTTACATCTACTTCTTCATTTGCTGTTACTGGCGACCACTACGGCCTACCCCGATATTCCTATGATTAATATGCAGCCTCCTCTTCACCCCTTTTTGTTGACATGTTCAACTTCACAAGACCATGGTGTATGGCTACTGTGAACCACCTGCGGTCCGACCCATGCTGGTTGAGACTTTGAATGTGTAATGTCTCTGTTCGTCTCCCACACCCAGTCCCCAACCTCAAAATGTCTCTTGGGCTCTTCCTCATTCTCTCCTTCTTTTCTCCGCTCTTCCTCATTCTCTTATTTTCCCTCCGCTCTTCCTCCTTGACCTTGTAACAGGACCCCGAGCCTTGCAGCGAACTTGTACAAGACGGCGTAGAGGGACAGGAGGTAGGCAAGAGCGAGAATAAAAGCGACGGAAATGGGGATAGCTTCAAATAAATGAAAGTAGAGATTGGCTGCGTGTCCAAAATAAGTGGGAGATTGATCATGATGTGTTTGGCGGTCGGTGTCTTTTCTTTTTTGGCAGATGTGGCACTTCTTGGCGGAGCAGCCGCTGTCAAACAAAACAAAAGCCCCACAACGGGACAGCGAGCCGAGTCTCACTTCTATGACAGCAAATGGTGGAGACTAACATCCACTTTGGGATATAATTGACGTCACTGACGTCATATTCAATCGAGATCACCTCTGACAATTGTTCAGGAACAGCTTGAGGAAGGCATATAAGAAACCACTTGATTGCTCTTCATAACCTTTCTCTTGACAGATCAAAACACTTCAAACAATCCCAATCAAGCAAAATCACCAAAGCCAAAACGCCCAGCGCAGAAAACCCCTTCAAATCACCTCTTTTTCTCTCCCGTCTAAGCAGAAAACCACCATCAGTAAGTTTCCTCCTTCTCGAATACCCTCACATATCAAGTAAAACACACACTAATACCCACCCAGAAATGCCCAACGAGTCCAAGGCCGAGAAGATCGAGAGGGTCAAGGCCAACCTTCCCCTTCCCGAGGAGCCCCCCGTCGCCCCCGACTGGCAATCCGCCGACTCCCGCACCGTCGACGTCGGCAGCGGCCGCTTCTCTGGCGATGTTTCCAAGGGCGAGGGCGCCTCCGCTGGCCTCCGTGAGCCCGCGTCTACCGACACGACCAATGTCGACTTTTCCAAGGTTGGCAAGGACGAGGCGCAGTACGTTGGCAAGGGCCAGAAGGAGTCGTCTTCGTAAAGACATCAACACCAGAAAAAGGACTTTGATTTGAACATCATCAGCACCACCTCTGGGAGGAATAGAAGTTTATAGAAGAGCATTATGATGACGATGTGGCGGATGGACGGGGAAGAATCACTCTGGAAGGAATTCACGGACACCGGCGGATATTCATCATTGCACTACATGGCGTTTGTTGGGGATTTGAGAAATTTACGGTTACGAACGACGACATGACCTAGGATTAGGATAGAATTGGGTAACGACACGCCTCTGGAAACGGGGTGGTCTACCCGTTTGAATGCGAATGCATTTACACAAATATCTTTTCGTGTGCTAAGTATACTTGTGATCCCATCTTTACGTCGTGTCATCGTGATGAAAACCTCTATCTAGTACTACCTAGGACCAAACCCCGGCGGAAGAGGCGGCGGAACCATCATCCCCCTCCCTGCGCCCCCGCCCGGAGGAGCAAAAGGAAAGAAAGTCGGCGACCCACTACCGCTTCCTCTTCCCACCATGCCGGGAGGCGGAGCCCCTCCTCTTCCTCCTCCCGGGGGGCCGAAGCCGGGTGGAAGTGGAGGAGGTGCACCTGGGAACTGTGCTGGTGGTGGCGGTTGTGGTGGGAAGGGAAACGCGCCGGGCGGTGCAGGTGCTAGTGGTGGAGGCGCCGAACCACCACCTCCGCCACGTTCTTCCTCGTCGATACTATCTGGATGGTAATCATCTTCGCTGTGTTGATCCTCCTCGTGCTCGGAATGGGAGTGGTACGAATGATCATCGCCTGATTCATGCTCGGAATGTCGGTCGGATTCTCTGCCTGAATAACTACCGGTGGCACTCGCCGTTCGCGTTCCGTGGCCGCCAAACATTGCCGATCCTAGTGGTGGAAAAGGACCTGGAGGCCCTGAACCAGAGAATGGTGGAAATGGAGGTGGTGGCGGCATACCGGGCATCGGCGGCATCGGAGGCCGGAATCCTCCTGGCCCAGCTGCTGGAGGCGGTGGTGCGGGAGGAAAGAAATTGCTCGGTCGCGGCGGTCCTGGGCTTGACTTGCTACTACTGCTGCTCGCAGGAGAGCGTGAAGGACGACGGGATTCTTTTCTACTCCTCCTGCTTCCACCACTGCCACTACCACCGCTTCCACTCCCACTGGTACGGCTTCCCCGGCCGCTGCTCCGGCTGGAACGGCTCCTATCGCCACTGCTGTTGGATGTTGAAGAGAACCAATCGACGATACAAGCTGCAATGAGAACGAGGCAGAAGAGGAGGGGAATCAGTTGCGATGCGGTGTTGATTTTGTTGACTTCTGAGGTGACGCGGTTCCAGTGAATTGAGAGCTCGATGGCTACAAGGACGGCGGTGGCGATGAGGAGGTTAAAGAGGAGTTGGAGTTGATCCATGTTTGAGCTGTTAGAGGGCCTATTATGGTCAGCAAGGTTTGACGTTTATTTGAAGGAAAACAGGAGAAATAGTACCCATCTCTCTTCCTCTTTTTCATCCTTCTCTTCTTCTCTTCACTTCCACCATCACTCAAACTCCTCACTCCCATCACCATCCCAGCCACCAACACTATCAACACCACAGCTATATTGAACGCTCTGAACGCGACACTGCCCAAATCCACTTTGGCAAACAAGAACCCATACGGCTTCCCACAAAGTTTCTCATCTCTCCTTCTTACCAACCCAACTACCCCAGAGCACCAAAACCACAACTGAAACCCACACACCATCAGCAGGAGAATGAACTCCATGATAACCAGCAAATCACACCCCTCCCTCTCCTTCACTCCTTTATCCCTACTACTTTCCTTCCTCCTCTTCTTCCCACCTCTGCCCCTCCGCCTCTCCTTCTCCTCCCTCGTCCCAGTCCCAGAACCAGGACTCAAAAGACATCTCTTTACCCCCGCCAAAAATACTACTCCCAGCGTGATGTACGCTGTACCGCTAACTAGCAAAGTCGCAATGTATACCTCCACCGCTCCGAATCCAACCTTATCTGTATCTGTATCTGTGTCTGAACCGGGAGAAGAGGCTACCACTTTCATAGCGAGCCCGATGAACACGGCAGAACAGAGAATCGCGTGTGCGGCCCGTAATACGGTATAGGGCGCCGGAGAGCGGGTTCGAAGGAGCGTTGCGGGGATGAGACCGATCCAGAGGAGGTAGAAGGAGAGGCGGATGCCGAGGCCGGTTGTGGAGGGGAGGGAAGGAGAGTCAAGACAAGAGGAGGAAGGGGTAATTGACATTTTGATGTTGGTATGTAGAGGTAGAGGTACGGGTAGGTTATCGTGTGGTGAGTTGTGTCTAGACTAAACGCTTGAATCGAGGTTTTCACAATCTGAGAGATATCATCTTGGCTTTGAGATGTCGTCGGTTTGGTGGTTTGGTGCACGGTTGAGCAAGGTTGGGTTGCAAGTAGTCGTTTGAGAGTGTCTCTCCTCTGGTAAGGTGAGGTGAGGATGTAAAAGAGAATGTAAAAGTTGCCATGTACCCGAGGCCTCTTTCAGTTTTAGGGATTAATGAATTTGTCCACGGCCCCCGACACCGTCCACCAGATAATCCATGGATGTCAGTCTCTGATCCTACCAGGATAGCTTCTTCGTTCCTCATCATCAATCAGACTTCTGTGCCTACCTGCCTACATGTGCTCACGTCCAGTACATACATGTCTGATTGAGATAGATATCCTGGGCTCGTCGTCATCCCAATACCTTGCCCACATGCACGTAACGTACGAATGTCAAACTTCCATCTTCGATCCAGTCGGTCAGCGGCCTTTTCTGCTTCCTTTTACCTCCTCAACACCGCATCTGTGTGGTACCTAACTGCATACCTAGAAGCAGGTCTCATCTAAACCGGGCTTTCAATAACCCAGGTTAGTAACTTCCCAGCTATTCTAGGCGATTGTGAAGCGCATTCATACACAACTCTTATTCCCCTGCCTACCTCTAGAGTAAACTACTTCTACCCCAACAACCTTGTTAGGCCCAAACTAACCAACTAGCCCCCCACGACATTTCGGCTGGTCTCCGGCCGTGGACAATCAGTCCCACGACATCTTTCGAGCCCATGTCTCAGCCAGTTTCAAACATCGGCGTGCGCGCGGAATCTCACCTCAAGGCACCTTCGAACACTTCAACCTTCCATTCCGAGTCTGATGAGGCAAGTAGGTAGGTACCTAGGTAGGTAGCTCAACGGACAAAACCTTGTTCCTAATACACTCACCGGAATCTCTTCTGTTTAGGTAGGATCTAAGGCCCTTTCTGTGTCTGTGTACAGCACGCCGAGTGAGTACCTAGGTACCCATAAAGCCAAAGTCCAGAACAAGGTTCAGTAAGTTGTCCGGTCGACCTTATATTCAAGAAAGAACTGGAAAGCACCCCCCCTTAAAAAAAAAAGAAAAAAAGGGAAAAAAAAAAAAAAAGAAAGAAAAAGTTTGAACCAGAAAAACGACAAAGGGCAGCGCCAACCGGCGGTAGCGTACGCAGCCGAGACAGAACTGAAGAAAGACAACAGCACGTCGACGGAAGACAGCGAGGGTGGACCAGCGAGATGAGGAAGAGGTTACTTATTTCTGTTAGTTACGCCCGTAGGTACGGTAGGTAGTCTAGAATGTCTCTGCTCTGTACTGTACGTTGCCTTTTTTGGTTCAGGAAACTATCACAGAGAGAATAGTGATGGTGGAGGAAGGACAGAACAGATTTCTCTGCAGATACTACTTAGACTGGGGAGGGGCGTTTTCTTGGCACGTTAATCTCTTCGTTCACATACAACCAGAACCTACCTGCCTACCTACCTTAGAACAACGACGGGAACTCTAGAGAAAGTCCAGCGAGAATTGCCCCATGAAGTAACTGGATTCTGGCGAGGTTACAAAAGCAATGAATGCTCATGATAAGTCGCTCGCTCATTATGAATTCGGTTCCCTACTCTGCATACGGAGCTTTAATGTTCCTTCTGGACTTGGAAAGAAGATTCGGAACACAAAAAGCGGAGTTACGGAGTATAAACCAACAGGGAGGTGAATGAATAACCAGTAACACAAGAAGCGGGGTGAAGATCCTGAGGTAGAGTATCTGGCGTAACACAAAATCTATTCCGAAGGCTTGTCTCAGCCAGGAACGTTTGACCTCGTGTGACCATGGTGATACTATCCACCGGTAAGCTGTTCTAGGCGGTATGTAGGAAGAAAAACCAACCGGCGGTGGCGGGTTTCTAGTCAGGTATAAACTAGATGACTGACTCTAGCCAAGTGTAGTTCTCTGGCTTGGAAATCACTTCGACCCATCGAGCTAACAGATACTCACTCAGAAGAGAATGAAGAGGAACCGCTTGAAGGCGAGTGTCAGGCCGCTTGTCCACACCCGACAACCCCTGGGCTTGACAGAGGCTAACGCGGCAATGGTTCGATAATGACCAAAACAAAACGGAAACGAACAGTCGATCGAGCAAGTACCCATGAACCTAAACGGGGTGGTATCAATCTGATTCAAATATCATGCTTGTAAACAAAAGCGAATATAAAACAAGCCGCCATGCCGTGTGGGAATATTTGAGCAAAGAAAACAATAAAAAACAACATGCACCATGCCAAGTCAACTAGGTCTTCACCCGCTTGCTCTCCTGCCTCAGGCCTCTGTCAGGATCCTATAATAATCAACTCCTTTCTCGCCATCATGGTCCTGTCATCCCCGATGATACCAAACCCCTCCTCATCTTCCTTTTACTTCTTTTTCGTCCAAACGGCGAGCACATAAAGCCTTCCTACGCTCCTGCCTCTGCCTTCATAGTGTTCATCCTACGCGCCATGCTAAACCCAGTTCCCTTTCTTGTTTCCAGCGCCTTGGACCACCTCCTGGAGTCCTTGATGGGCTCCCCTTGCCCATCAAGCCCCAGCACCTCCATAAGCTCAGGAATCTCGACATGATCCCTCGTCGTCTTCATGCGGTGACACCATGTCACTTTTTTCTCCTCGCCTTCGTCTTCTTCGTTCTTGCCATCGATGCTGGCTTCCGACGGCCTGTGTCCTTGGCCGCCAAAGATCTTCTTGTCCTTCGTTATTGTCCCCTTGCTGTCGCTACCTAGACCGGTCTCTTTGTCGTCAGAGTCTGGTTCCAGCCTTGAGCCGGAACTGTCCCTCTTCCTCTCGGCAGCAGCAGCAGCAGCAGCCGCTTCATTGTTCTCCCTTGTTGCCCTTTCAAGTGTCCTTTCCATATCCTCCCATTGTACGGCGTTAACGGGACTCTGAATATCCACCGGTTCGAACAAGAACTCGCCGCCAATCTGCTTGAAGTCTCCCGCTTTGTTGGCCAGCCCCTTGGGGATCTGTTTGATGCCTGTGATGATCGAATCAAATGAAGATTTGATCAAGTGCTTGGTTACGTAGGCGGGCTTCTCGCCCAGCGCGAGGGTACGCACCATGCCGAGCTCCTGGTATAGCTTGCGGGTGGGATCGGCGTAGATGGGGAATGGGCAGTTGGTTGCTTGGGCGTACATGTCGATAAGCTGTGGGTTTCCGCAGCCAACAACGGCGATGAAGGTCGAGAGTGGAAGCCGGAGGAGGGCGTCGGGGGTTATGGAGGCAGAGAGGGTGCGAAGGTATTCTTGGCATTGCTAGTTCGCAGGAGCAAGTTAGATGATGTTTGTCGAACGGAGGAGGGGTCTAGAATGCAGGGCATGAACTTACACCACAGAAGAAGTGGCGGACAAAGATGATGAGGACTCGCCGGGCAACGTGCTTGCCAGTATAGAGACTCCGGAAGGTGTGCGACTTGCCGTCGCGATCGAGAACATGGTAGTTTTCGATCTTCTTTATGGTGGCCAAGCTTGGTAGGTCGTTGTTGCTGTCAACAAAGCCCTGAAAGTCCAGCGCGGCGACGGCATTGTCGCTTGTTGAAAAGCGAGGGCCGTCAATTGGCGAATTCGAAACCGATTTACGCGACGGGACAAAGCTTGGTTGTCGTGATGATGATTTCTGTGATGGTTCTACTGGTAGGCTAGGGTTCGCCTTCTCGGCGGTCGTTGGGCGCGATGAGTTCGTAGCGAACATGGGATTCGCAGGCGGTTGATCTGTTGAGACTGCCATGACTGATGTGGGCGATGAAGACGACGACAATGCTGATGTAGTGTTGTTGGTGGCGTCAAACACTCGTAATGCGTTCGAATATTTCTGTCGTTTACTAGCAAGATAGTTGTAGAGATCGTGCTAAAGAAGTCGTCTGTCTGAAGGGTTGAAGTTGGTTGGGAAGTTTCCCGAGTTTTTTAATATCGACCAGTGTCGATCGATACCTCTTTCCAGCAGGAATGAGAGTAAGTACGGGAGTAGTTCTAGGGGACCTGTTAGGGCGGCCGGTGCGGTAGTTGGGGGCAAAGAGACGTAAAGGGAACTGTGACGTCTGAGCACGTTTTCTTGAACCAAAAAAGCCGACGAAACAGGGAAACTCAACGAATGGGCTCAGCCACGGGATGGACGGGGGAAACAAGACCATCAAATATGGCTATGAATGGCAACAAGCAAAGCAGTCCCCAAATGGAAAGTGGGTATGAAGTCACTGCCAGCCATGTTTTAACGACGCCATCAACAACGAAGCGAACGCACTGCCCTGTCGCCATGCCCCGGGGACGCTGCCGATTTGCGTCCCCTGGAATTGCACAGGGATCCCCCAAACCCGCTAAGGAAATGGTGTTGATCTGTTCCAGCCCACATCAGCAGCTCCACACGTGTCACTGCCCCAAACTCATACCACTAGTGTAGTGTATGTATTCCCACCTAGCTGGTTGGTGAGCACCATGAATGTGCTTCCATCCTGGAGATAGGTCGGAAATGACAATTCGACACTCTTCCACGTTTCCCTTTCCATTCGAGTTGATCGAAACAAGAGGCACAGTCGTTAGGCGCGGACGAGAGAGTGCCCGAGGATTGAACAGCAACTGAAGTCCGCCCTCACCCCGCCCTAGGTACCCCGTACTAAGTCTACTGTACCCGTTTCGATATTTACGAAGTCGGGCTATCCCAGTGGGGTTCGGGGACTCGTCAATCACCGCTGCGGCACCTCGCTGGGTCGTCATTCTGTTTCTAGCAGCGTCTCGAGCCGCCAAGTCGTCAGCTCATCAATCGCCGCCGTGTTTCACCCATGTGTCGAATCGACCATCGACGACGACGGCTGCTACCTCTACCCACCGCGATGCTACCGACTACTTAACCGCGCGTCTCACTCAAAAGGGACTAAGGAAAGGATGGTGGTGGTAGTGTCGGTAGAGGTAGCATTGACCAGTGCGCACCTATTTTCTAGATTAGACATTACCACACTTATCAACCTCCAATGGAGGCATGTCAACACCGGATGATGGACACTCCGCAGTCCGTTACCATGGCAACAAAAATAGGCACTTTAAAAGGAGTGAACAAGCAGTGGGCAATCGACACGAGCATTCGTGAGTTGAGCAATACTGAAGACGTGAGGCTGGTTACATGAGTGTTATAACACCATGTCTGTTTACACATGGGTCTTGCTTCTAGCTTCTTGGTGTATTGAAGCAAACCAAAGGTCTTGAATGCTGTTGCTTGGCTCTCGGGGAAGATGCAAGGCAGCTTTATCGTTGGGCTGATCAACCCCTAATTGTTTGAATAGGTAGCTCCATATTCGCTTCCAACCCTTACAACCCTTACAACTCTCCGACTTCTGATGATCACCAGACGCCTGAACTAAGACTGCAGGCAGGCTGAACACATCCCAAGCCCCAAGCTAGTTCGATCGAACTCGGACATAATTCGAAGATGAACCTAATGTTTGCTCCAAAATCAAAGAAGCTGGGAATGAACGTCATGAAGAGAGATTGTCTGACATTGAGAGGGAAGGCGCGATCCAGAAGTACTCAAGGGAGGGGTTACGGTTGGGCGAAGGGCTCTTGGAACAAGAAGGCGTTCCTTCCTCGACTGAGAAGTACCCCTGGATCTCAAGATAAGATTGAACTTCTGCCTAAGGTAGGCAGGTATCAGCAATCCGGTGACTCAGGTCAGTCTTTAGTTCCTTCTCCATCAGGCTTCGAACCTTTACTTTTGCAAACATCACGAGGCAGTCGTTCGTTGTTAGTTTCACACAGAACCAGCTCTTTCCATCTCACGAGTGTCTAATGGGACTCAAGGTTATCAGTCACACCTGCTCACGGGAGTCCTTCCGGCCGCTTTCAGTAGCACGAGACGGATCAATGGCGGTGACAATGACGAAAGCTCAGTTTCACCATTCAGTTGCATGGGACAGATCGTGACTACCTCTACTTGTTGTACTGACAAAACTTGCGGGTGGATGTGTCACTGAGAAGCAATTCGTCCTGTTTGAGGCAGCAGGATGAAATGGACAGGGCAGTCGCTCAAGGAAACTTCTACATCAGGTGAACGGCCGTACTCGCAGCGGGACCGAGGTTCTGCCTGCCTCAACAGAGTCGCTTCCTCCTCGCTGTCATCATGATAGGAGGGTCAAGAAGGCATCTCGCTCAGAACGACGCCAACGTGACTCTTTTCCTGTGAGAGCTTGAGGGGTAACCCATCGCTCTTTCTCCGGGTAGTTCACGTCGTGATGTCTATGGAAGGTCACTCCGTGGGGGTAACTGTGGTTGCTGGCTGTTCCTAACGTTATAATAACCCCCCCATCAACTCTGCCCGGAACACGGCTCGGTTCCCAACACAATCCTGCTGCCCTTCTCCATCAACATCCCAATTCCCTACGTCTTGTCGCACACACTTTCAACTGTTCGTTCAAGATACACATCTCATTCCCTCAAACTTCCGATACCCCTATCCCTCTCAGTGTTTGCCCTTTCCCAGAAAGGCATCATCGGTCGCCATGGGTTCTATGTACCAAGTCCAGTCGAAGCTCCGTCAGGACCTTGGCCTCCACAAGGTTCAGGCTGTTCGCAAGCCCGGTCGTGAACTCAATGGCACCAAGGCATACGTCAGTGCAATGGCCCGCTACGGTTTCAATCCCACCGAGGAGTCCAGGTTCTTCCACTTGAAGAAGACCGATCTCACCAAAGAGTTCCAACGCCGCGGCTACACTCGTCACTGGGAGCAGCTGGTTAGGACACCCCAGGAACGTCCCGACGATCCTCAAACAGACAACGAGCCCATCCCTGCCGAGGATCAGCAGTACGACACTCAGTATCTCTGCGAGATTGGTATTGGCACTCCGCAACAGAAGGTCAAGCTTGACTTTGACACAGGATCCGCTGATCTTTGGGTGAGTACTCAACCCTACCCCTTTCTCTTCTGTCATGACACTGACCAATTTCTTTCAAGGTCCGCTGCACAGATTCATCCCTTCTTCATCACGCCGACAAGAAGTTCGACCCGAAGAAGTCGGATACCTTCCAGGAGAGCAAGACCGACCAGACCTGGAAGATCCAGTACGGCGATGGAAGCACCGCTTCGGGCACCGTCGGTACGGATGTCATTACTGTCGGTGGGCTTCAGATCAAGAACCAAGCCATCGAACTTGCCAAGAAGGTGTCCAGTGCCTTCTCCTCTGGCGAAGCTGACGGTCTTCTTGGACTTGCCTTCTCCACGATCAACACCATCGAGAGCGATGGCAAACCGGATCCACAGCCCACACCTGTCGAGAACATGATCAGCCAGGATGACATTCCCAAGGAGGCTGAGTTGTTCACGTCCGCCTTTTACAGTGCGCGTGATGACAAGTCAGAGGAGAAATCCTTCTACACCTTTGGCTGGGTCGATGAAGATCTCGTCAAAGCTTCCGGAAAAGATATCACATGGACACCCATCGACAACTCGGAGGGCTTTTGGAAGTTCCCCAGTGAGAGCGCTACAGTCGACGGCGAGAATGTTTCTGTGAGCGGAAACGCCGCAATTGCTGATACTGGTACCACACTGGCGCTCGTCTCGGACACGGTTTGCAAAGCGCTCTACGCAAAGATCCCCGGCTCAAAGTACAGCTACCGATACCAAGGTTACCTCATCCCGAGCACAATCACAGCTGATCAGCTCCCTCAGCTGAGTGTCGCAGTTGGTGGAGAGCAGTTTGTTATTCAGAAGGAGGATCTGTTGCTGGCACCGGCTGATGATGACCATTGGTACGGTGGTGTGCAGTCGAGGGGTACTATGCCTTTCGATATCTTGGGTGATACATTCCTCAAGTCCATATACGCTGTAAGTTCACGCATCTCCGACAGAGTGAAGATGTTACTAACACGATGAACAGATCTGGGACCAGGGCAACAACCGCTTTGGAGCTGTACCCAAGATTGAGGTGAACCAGCACACAGTGTTCCCTAATACCGAGTCTTCACCTGAGGCCAACTCACCTGAGCCCGCAGACAAGATTGGTGACGTCTCCCCGGTGGAGCAAGTCAAGGGAGCAGTGAAGAGTCTGAAGCTGCTGTAACTTGAGAGAGAGGTCGAAATGTTTGTGGTCTGCGGGACGCTCATTAGGAGGAAGAAGTCAGTTCTGTAGATGTCTTTAGTGTATCGCATATGGAAACAGTGGCTTCACTGTGGAGGAAGTGCGTTGCCTTGAGTTACCTGTAACTTTAGCGCACGCTGAAACATCCATTGTTACCGTCGAGGTCATTAGATACCCTAGTTACTCGTCCAAATCTCAACTCTCATGCTTGAAGATGATCATATCTGTGCGAGAAGGAGCAGATAAGTCCTCGGTTCTGCTTATGCTCTGCAAAATGGTTTACACTAACTGCCAGAAACTGAGACAGATCCGTAACCAATACCAAATAAGTTGGATGATGGAGAGGTGAGGAGGGTGAAGCAAACTTATGCCAAGCCCGTTACCGGTTACTCACCGTATAACCCTTTTCACGGCATGGTTAGTCAGAAGCTGACTATGACACAACGTTTAACTGTTCCTATTTTTCAAGTTCACCACATCTCCTCGAGCTGCAACAAATTCCAGCTACGACGACACTCATGGTTGATAGTCTTTTGGTCGCGCGTGACATTTGTGATCTTTGCAAGCCAGCGATGACGGGTCCAGAGAATGTGACAACCTTGTGTCTTATCCAGGTTGTTCGACACACGACTTCCGAAGCAAGAAAGAAGCAGGAGAGGGTCAAAGCTGAGCAGGGTAAAGTCGTTTGCTCCTCGCTGAAGTCCGCCAGAAACGCCAGGATCACCGCCAACGGGTCCTATATGTGGATGCGTGGCACCTATACAAGACACGAACGACAGCCATGTGATTCTTATCTGATTTCTTAGTTATATATCTCAACCCCAAGGCCAAGAAAACTGTTGTGAAGAGAATAGTAAAATAAATCATATCATGTCAGGCTCCGCGTCAGGATCAGGGTATATACATACATAAACCTTACGAGCAAATATTCCTTCATGATTCAGACCAAGTTACGACGTGAGATGCTGCAGGTATCCTTTATATACTAAAAGCTGATTTAATATCGCGAACTTAGGAGTCCGAGTGTTAATCACGGGTCGGTGCATGGGTACTGTATGTGATAGGTGTGGACAGGTAGGTAGTCCTGGAAAGTGAATTCAGATACACGATGTGGTGGTGGTATAGGTTGGACTTCAAGTTAGACTGCGTCTGTTCTTTTATGGATCTCGTACATAAAGCCTCATACGACCTTTTTTTTATACCCCATAAATGCTACGAACTGATTCACTATGGTAACTGTCCAGAGTTGATTTCGCCTTGGGGGGATCTCCAATTGAGTTTAGTTGGGTTGAGTGGAGTTGAGTTTGGTAAAGGGAGTTGAGTGACTGTGAGCGGCGCTGTACAATGATTGTACGACACTGAACAAACGCAGCCTTAGTACCAGGACGTAGGTAAAGGGGTCCTCTTCCATAGTGTTTGGCATTGGAGACGGGGTCTGGAAGTGCCTCTGTATAATATAATGCGTGCGGAGCAAGATGGGGTAAGTAGGTGAAGCATCCTCTGAGGTAGAGATCCCAAGCTTGGTCGTTGTGTGTTAGGGACGGATGAGTACAGCGCAGGGCAAGGTATGAAGCAGTGGTGTTACAGTAAAGACCCTACCTAATAAATGCAAGTCCACCTAAGGGTACTTGGTAAGATGTAAGTGTCCTGGCAGTCCGGATTCAACAATCTGTATGTGAGTGTGACCCTAGTGAATGTCAAATGCCTAGCCTTTACTTTACAGAACGAGCAAAGAAGTGACGGATCAGTCCTGTCTCGTGATGAGAGGTCCGAGTGATCGCGGCCCAGATGGAGATGGCTTTGATGACCTTGTCTGGGACCCTGTGGGACACATACATACGTAGCTCTGACCTTTCACTTGACGTCGACAAGCTCTTGGTGTGGGCTTGGTGCTGGGAAGAACCTGGGTTCCGTGAGCTCTTTTTTCTGGTGTGGTGAGAGCTTAGGTTAAGGTTGGGAAGCTGGTATGTACACATGATAATCACATCGACACGGTAGATGAGAGAGGTATCTGCCGTACTGCCCCGCTGCCCAAGGACATGAACAATCGACGGGAGGGAGGGGAAGCCCCACGCATCTTTACTGGTACTGTTGTACGACTCGACGTTCACTGGAGACTATGTAAGATGCCCAATGTAGGTATGCAAGAGGCAGCGATAACAGAATGCAACGATAAGAGCAGAAGGAGAAGAACTCCGGAAAGAAAGAGCATGACCATGGGCCATGGCGAGACACGGTTCCTCGTCTCGGGAAGCGATCCCGAAAGTCCATTGATTGGCCACGTTTCTTGACGAAGGATGATTGGTCTTGCTTCGTTTTTCTGCAACGACTTGTCGTGCATCATCGTGCCTTTTTGTTGGCATGCGTCTGTCGTGCTTGGGCTCTCTGCTCAGTCAGATGCATCCATTACTGATGAGATGAGTCAGGGTGTTGAGAGGTGATGCTGTCCAGTTATGGTCCAGTTGAGTGGTGACTCTAAGCGAGAAAGTGAACGGAAGGCAATATCACGGGTTTTCAGACGGTCATGGCCAGTTGTTGATGAACTGACACAACGGACGCCATAGAGGAGGACGGGAGAGCATCGAGAGGTCAGTTGTGGAGTTGTAAGGGGGCGAGTGCACGAGTCATCGTGTGGCCTTAGCTCCACGGAAGCTGCCAGAGCTGGGGGGACTTATCGATGTGGATCACAGTCCAGTGAGCAACCGAGTGAGGCCCGGGCCGGCAAACGGGCTGAAGTGTGTCAGATCAACGGGCAGCGAACTGGTCTCAAACGGGATAATTTTGACAATCAACCACTCCTTGATTGTCCTTCGTCTTCAAAGCAGCTTTAAATATCTTATTCGGAAGACAAACATACATCAAATCCTTTTAAACATGGTTGGCATCACCTCTTAACCTCAGCTCCCCTCGAGGTTGACGAGCCCAGAAGCGGGCGGCAAGACCCACCTCAGAGCGTCAGGTTCCGTGTCCGCAGGCTTTCCCATCCCCGCGCCTTCGATTCCAGGCCGGGCTTCCTTGGGCGGTGTCTGGCAACCTAGCTTCCAGGCGGCCAGGCCCCAACCTATCTCCATTCCACTTCCACCTCACTTTGGCTGCCCGCGATTCTGCCCAGGGTTTCCGCCCAGTATTGCTCCTACCGCCTGCCCGCCACGCTACGTAGGTAGAGGAGGTGCTCTTCGTAAACTTCACAAGTTCACACCTGCTTTGGGCTTGCTGCGTAATTCCGATTCTTTCTATCGTCCATCCTTTCAGTTTGGTTACTATTTTTCTCAGTCCTCGACATCAAGTCAACTTTTCAAGTTTCCCATCCCCAGTTGTCCGCCCACGTCTTCCGACTGTAACCTCTGTTCAGCTTGCTTCTTTCCCCTGCCCAGCCAACATTCCTGGCCGGCTTTGTTTCTGACCCCCGACCCTTTTTTTCTCTCTAATATTCTTACCCCAAACCAAACAAAACCCGCCCGCCGAGGGATCCAAGGTTGTTGCCATCCCTCCCTGCGAGCTTCGGACTCGACTTTGGACGACAGCCGTCACAGACCTCCCCACATCTTTCTGCACCGCAGGGCGGTTACGGACACACAAGATCCCAACCCGTTCTTTTGACATCTTCTCCCGAGGAGAGGACCAACCACACCACCACGCTAGAAATTGTCCATCCGACTGGGCCTCCCTGTCCTGACGTCGTCTGGTCCACCACGGCAACGCATGAGTTTGCCGATCACCGATAACATTACCACCGTCGAAGCTTCCTGCCCCCCTTCCATCGGCTGAACAGCCCCGACGCGATTATCCATATATCCTTTCTCTCCCTACCTCGATCACCTCCACATAGAAACAATGGCTTCCGCCGCGCCCAGACGCAGAAAGGTCATCGGTCAGCGTCGCAGGGTTGAGGACGAGGGTGAAGAGGAGGGCCCTGACACCTTGGACCTCGACGACGACTCGGTCACAGAAGCCTCCATCGCAAGCGACGACCACGACCTCGCTGATAACGACAGCGACACTAGCAATGTCGACGAGGTCTCTCCCTCCTCCCCCAAACTTCACAAGCATGTCGGCAATGGCGCCGCGAAAGCTGGAACCAGGCGCCGCGCAAGCGACACGGCTGTCGCCAAGTCTGGCGAGAAGCCCACCGTGACGGATACGGAAATCATGCTACATGGACTATCACTGGCCGACAAGGATGGCGAGGTTGAGGAAGTCGATTTTGATAAAGTTCAGCATCATGAGAAAGGCCCTGCTGCTAAGGACCCCGCGGCGCCTGTTGTCGTGAGCTCCAACTCTGTCGCAAAGCAGTCGCGCGTCCTCCCACACGAACAGAAACGGCGCTCGGAACATGAAGAATACCGGCGGAAGAGGGACGAAGACCCAACCTTTGTGCCCAACCGGGGTGCTTTCTTTTTACACGATCATCGTCATGCTGGACCGGCCGCGAACGGCTTCCGCCCATTTACTCGACCGGGCCGTGGAAGAGGTGGTGGACGAGGTGGTGGGCTTGTGGGCCCATTCACTTCTGTAAAGTAAGCTGGCCAAGATTCTATTGCATATCTGTTGGTTCTCGCATATACTGACCGCTGCTGCAGCCCACCTAGTAACCCCTCCGATCCCACGACGAGCGGGCCTTGGGCTCACGATATGCACGAAGAGGTCGCCGGCCCTCGCCCTCAACGACAGCAGCCACCCAGATACATGCCTGACGATGAAGGTCCTCCGAATGGAAACGGTGTCATACACAACGCGCCACTGAGCAACACCCATATCAACCGGGCCATGTCCTGCGTTAAGCCCCTTGGCAACGTGACCGTCCGCGTCTTCATCCCCAACATCAGCCTTGGGCCTAAAAGCTTCCCTAGCATACCCTTGAAACAGTACACGAAGCTTCCCGATCATCGTCCGCCTCTACGAAGGGATAAGCCCGTCAGGATCTCCATACCATACCACAATTTCCCTGTGATGCCTCGCTATATCTTCCCGGCTAGCGATAGATCATTCATCTTCATCCCGCGCGCTTTGCGCCCGAACAACCAGCGCGGTCGCGGCAAGGGCCCGCGTTCTGCCTATGGTTCCATTGGGGGCTTCTCTCGCAGGACTAGTGTGTTTGGAGGAAGCTTCTACGGCAGCGCCTATTCACCTAGCATTGCTATGAGTCGACGATCATCGATTGGCAGAGACTTTATGATGTCGCCGACGGGCTCTGTAATCTCCCGGCCGCCTCTTCCTGTTGACGCCAACAGACCCGTTGTCCGTCTGCCACCGCACGCACAACAGCAGCCAACGATGGTCGCAACCCAAAATATGCCCATGATGGAGCCGTCCATCAACAACATCCCACAGCCGCAACTCCATCCTCTCCCACAAAAGCCTGCTTTCCAGGACAGCACTGGCACTGCTATCCCCATGCATCAACCGCGTCCCCAGAAGTCTGTGTCGGTTGAGAACATCGAGACGCCAGCGCACCCAACGGCTGCTGCACCTCCAGCTTATCAACAAGCTTTCCATCAGCAAGTTCCTCCTCAATTGGAATCGCATGCTCGCAACCCATCATACCAGTCCCAGGTTTCGACGACTCCACTTTCACAGATTCCCGAGCGAGCTATCCATGCCGCTCCATTCCAGCCCAACACTTTCTCACAGCCCGGTTTCTACGCTCAGCCGGTGCAGATGATGCCTCCTCAGCAGGGATACTATTATCCTCAGGGAATGGGCACCGATATGCAGCCGAATGCAGCGGCGCCCGCTTTTATTCCTGGAGGGGTTCCGATGCCTCAGCCTATGGGATACACAACATCTGGGCCAGTTGACCCAGTAGCGGCCGCGAATGCTCAGGCCAGTGGGCAAAACGGTGCCTCGCAAGGTCCTGTCGCCCAAGAAATCAACGGTATGGTGTACTATTATGATCCAAACACGCTTCCTGCCATGGTTACATACCCCCAGTATCCAGCTGCAGCGCCGGCCTATGGAGGTCCTGGCGTGGTTGGGATGGGAGGCATGATGGCTCCCGGGCCAGATGCATTCTACTATCAACCGCCGCAGCCGGGAATGGTTTACTACGCTCAATAGGACGCGGCATGGTGGCCTGATGGTAGCTGATCGGGTTGACAAGTGGATGGCTGGGATATCTGGGAAGGGCTGCTCGAATACCTGTCTGCTCATGGATGATCGAATGCTTCCGAAAAGGAGAGGTTTCAGGCAACTGCGTTGCCGTTTGAGAAACCACAGACGAATCCTGTGGATGGACATGGGAGATGACGACCAGTAATGGAGCACAGCATCACACATTCAGTGTTGAGTCTGTCCTGAGCGTTGAAGGGTGCAGAATCTCCATCATTATCCCAAGCAATCCAACCACCTAACGTACCTACCTATTGCTTCCATTAATGCACGACTACGTTCGTCTTCCCTACAACCTCTTTGAGTTATTGATGAATCCGACGATCAGGTGTATATTTTTCTTGTCCAGGTGGCCATGTATGTTTTCAGGTTTCTATAGCGGGTCGGTCAGGTGGTTTCGGCGGCGGCGGCAGAATTGTTTTGTTTCTTTACCCGTGTTGTGTTATATTGCAAGCGACTTGATGTTTGGTCGTGATGTTTCGATGTCCATCCTTCTGTACGACAATATCATTGCATCGCTGGCGACGGCCAATTTTCATGTTAGAGGTACATGCGGATGAGTCCTCTTTTCGCGTGCTTCGGTCAGCCTTTGCATGTGTTTTTGTTGGCATGTTTCATGCCTAAATGGTTTCAGACTCTCCCTGGAACTCTCTGCTACGATCGTAGGTGTTTAGATATGGCGTTCATCGAGCATGGCCTTCTCCTGAAGAGAGGTCTCTCCTCGTGAGCCGACCTGTACGATATTTGATGGTCTGCGTTATGTTATAGCGTGTATATAAACCACCTGACTTTAACACGATAAAGTATGGTACCGAGCGCCCATATTTCCGCTTTGATGGTGAAGATATGGAAACTACTGATATTGGGGGCATAGAGAACTGAAGGCGGAGGTGAATCAAGAAAGGGGCGGTGATTTATCAGGGTTAGGGTACATGGTGGAAAATCATCGCGTCACTATCGGTAAGTCTACTGCAACTTCCATTTCCAGGGCGTTCGGATCAACCCCACAATTTGCGTTCCTCCCCCCGAAATGACGGGCGATGGCTGTGCAAGAAGGATTGTGAAGATGTGTCCGTTTCAGATGTTGAAAAACAACAGAAAGATGCCATGTGACTCATGACTCAAGAGATGAAATACGAAAGATAACACGGTTGCTGGGGTTGTGAGTGTCTTTCGGTGTGTTAGTTCGGATTCTAGGCTTTCAAGGACGGACGCTGAGTTCGGGCCAGGATGGACATATGGTCGGGAACGCAACGTATACTTCCTTTTCACGAAGCTATAAAATCAAGGCGCTCCTCAATACTTGTCGTTGGGAAGAATTATCAAGTGTTGCTGAATCTTTTCAAGAATTCCATTCTATATTGCACCTTTTCAAGAACTCGCAGGTCACCTCTTCCAAGCGGCCTTTATCGGCCAGAAGAGCTCCATCGCGTAACTATTCGGTTACTGCGTCATAGCATCGACGGCGACAACAAGACAAGCACTCAACACAAAACGTCAGCAATACAACAGGAAAACCCTCGCTCAGGCAGATTCAAGATGAGCGACAAAAAGACGGGTATCACCGTTTTCTCTGGAGGTACATCGGCCTGAATTCAGCCATTAACTTCCCCAGACTTCTGCACGTTTTTTTTCTTTTTTTTTTCTACTTCATCGCCAATTCCCATTTGGAGAACCCTGCTGAGTGGACACTTGAGCTAACAACCACGGCAACAACCCAAAGGCACCGCTGCCAACAGTCTTGTTGATGTGTTCAACGGAATCATTGAAAAGAAGAATTGTCAACTCAACTACATCATCCCAATTAGTGACAATGGAGGAAGTTCGTCCGAGTTGATTAGGTTCATTGGAGGGCCAAGTGAGTGAGACCCTTTCTGTCAGTGTAGAACAAGGGCTAATAGCGCTACAGGTGTTGGTGATATCAGGAGTATGTCGTCAAACTCATACATGGCAGACGAGAACCCAAAGATGAACCTACTAACACAACCCAGGCCGTCTCGTCCGCCTGATCCCAAACCCCTCCAATAACCAAGAAAAAGCCGCCCTCAAAGCGCTCTTCGAGTACCGTCTCCCCGGTGATCCATCAAAAGCCCGTATAGAATGGCTCGACATCGTCGAAGCCCGCCACCTTCTCTGGGCCTACATCTCGTCTCCCAAACGAGAACTCATCCGGTCCATCCTCAACACCTTGAACCTCGAGATCGTCAAGCGAACCCGACCAACGTCCACCTTCAACTTCGCCGAAGCCTCCATCGGCAACATGTTCCTGACCGGCGCCCGCATCTTCTCCGGCTCCTTTGAGTCCGCCATTTACCTCCTCTCCATGATCTGCTCCATCCCGCCCAACGTCAGTGTCCTCCCTGCCATCAACTCCAACGTCACGCACCACATCTCCGCCGGCCTCGAAGACGGCACGACCATCGCGGGGCAGGTAGCCATCAGCCACCCGAGCGCGCCCACCGCTTTGCCAGACGACGTCAAGATCTCGCTGGCCACTCCCTCCTTCCCTCCCTTGTTACACGGGGGACACGGCCACGGCGCTCCTCCCTCCTCGGCAAACCTTCATCCCGCCGCCATGGCCATGGCTATGCATGACGGCGGCATCTTCAAGCTCCCTCCTCAGCATTTGACCGTCCCATCTACTGCTGGATCCTCCACCGCCGCCTCCGTAACCACGTCGTCCTTCTCAGCAACCACCACCCCAACCAGACCCACGTTCCCCTCTCT